ATCTCTAAAATCAGTTCTATATTCAAGGTAGATGACAGATAAACTTGTTATCTCTAAAATCAGATCTATATTCAAGGTAGACAATAGATAAACTTGTTATCTCTACAATCAGATCTATATTAAAGATAGGTAACAGATAAACTTGTTATCTCTACAATTAGATCTATATTCAAGGTAGATAACAGATAAACTTGTTATCTCTAAATTTAGAATTATATTCAAGATAGGTAACAGATAAACTTGTTATCTCTAAAATCAGATCTATATTCAAGGTAGATAACAGATAAACTTGTTATCTCTAAAATCAGATCTATATTCAAGGTAGACAATAGATAAACTTGTCATCTCTACAATCAGATCTATATTAAAGATAGGTAACAGATAAACTTGTTATCTCTAAAATCAGATCTATATTCAAGGTAGATAACAGATAAACTTGTTATCTCTAAAATCAGATCTATATTAAAGGTAGATAACAGATAAACTTGTTATCTCTACAATCAGATCTATATTCAAGGTAGATAACAGATAAACTTGTTATCTCTACAATTAGATCTATATTCAAGGTAGATAACAGATAAACTTATTATCTCTACAATTAGATCTATATTCAAGGTAGATAACAGATAAACTTGTTATCTCTAATATCAGATCTATATTCAAGGTAGATAACAGATAAACTTATTATCTCTACAATTAGATCTATATTCAAGGTAGGTAACAGATAAACTTGTTATCTCTACAATTAGATCTATATTCAAGGTAGATAACAGATAAACTTGTTATCTCTAAAATCAGAATTATATTCAAGATAGGTAACAGATAAACTTGTTATCTCTAAAATCAGATCTATATTCAAGGTAGATAACAGATAAACTTGTTATCTCTAAAATCAGATCTATATTCAAGGTAGATAACAGATAAACTTGTTATCTCTAAAATCAGATCTATATTCAAGGTAGATAACAGATAAACTTGTTATCTCTAAAATCAGATCTATATTCAAGGTAGGTAACAGATAAACTTGTTATCTCTAAAATCAGATCTATATTCAAGGTAGATAACAGATAAACTTGTTATCTCTAAAATCAGATCTATATTCAAGGTAGATAACAGATAAACTTGTTATCTCTACAATCAGATCTATATTAAAGGTAGATAACAGATAAAGTAAGATATCTGTTGATATATTGATAAGAATGTCGGCACCGATAGCAGCACAGAAAACTTAGTAGGAATATTGAGACTTAATCATGCCGTGAATAAATCCCCCCCCCCCTCCTCCATATTGTACCAGAATTAATAGTTTAATTAAGTTTCCAAATTGAAAGTTATATTGGCACATTTTATTATTTATTTATTTCTTTAATGAAAGGAAATTTTTCAACAGAATACAATATTACGCAGTCTGTGACCAAAATATTGGCGTTTCTATTCTTTCAAATCCAAACAAGCATTTTCAGTGCTCAGATTATTAAAGAGATTTTAAAGAGACTTTTCTCTGTCTGTGGTTCCTACAATTCCACTAAAACTGAGTGATGATACTCAATGGGATAAAATATATTTTACATGGCGGCTGACTCTTGGCAGGTGTAGATGACTTTTGGCAGGGTGAATGAACTCTTGACAGGGTGAGGTGGGTGACTCTTGACAGGGTGGGTGACTCTTGACAGGGTGAGTGACTCTTGGCAAGGTGGGTGACATTTGGCAGGATGTGTGACTCTTGGCAGGGTGAGTGACGACAGGGTGGGTGACTCTTGGCAAGGTGGGTGACATTTGGCAGGATGGATGACTCTTGACAGGATGGGTGACTCTTGGCGGTGTGGGTGACTCTTGACAAGGTGGGTGACATTTGGCAGGATGGGTGACTCTTGACAGAATGGGTGACTCTTGACAGGATGGGTGACTCTTGGCGGTGTGGGTGACTCTTGGCAAGGTGGGTGACATTTGGCAGGATGGGTGACTCTTGACAGAATGGGTGACTCTTGGCGGTGTGGGTGACTCTTGGCAGGGGAGTTATGACTAACCTATCGGGATCAAATTGGGATTTTTCTGAATTACAATCCGTTGTGTGGTTTTCTGGCAATGACAATTTAAACTGTCTGTGCCACTTTAACGATATAATTCTAGCTTACTACGTTTCTCTTCTCTTCTATATAAACCCATACAAACTTACCTTCTCTACTCACAACTCTATCAAGAAGACAAAATGACTGTCATATCTAATTTGATGTTGGTAATTGTTTTGCTGTGTGTTGTGTCTTTACAAGTTGCCAGCTCTAAACCTCATTCACGCATCAGAAAGGCTGTTGATGGAAAAAAAGGTAAAAATTTTCATCGTTTACCCAGAGACTATAGTCTGAGGCGCATCTTTGGGGTGGACAGTTATTGTGCATGATCCAATTTCTTTTGAACTTTTCTCTTTAATGGTACCGTCACACCGGAAAGACGTTCTCACTGTGCTGCTACTGTGATGAAAATTGGATCAGAGAGTGTAAAGGTCGCCATTAACGTGGTCTAAACGTGTAGGACACACCAGATATTGTGTAATTGCCAAGTCAGGGGTTTATTTTGGACACGTACAAAACAAACGCCAAGATTCTACAATCTGTTTAGGATTGCGGTGAGAACGCAACGGATACAACATCCTCATAATAGTCAGGATATTGCGATCATTGTCTTATACCTTGACTACAATACCCTGACCAATGTGAAGATATGGGTATGTGTATGTTAACTTTCAAAGAAAAACTACAGTAGTAAAAGAAAATCTATATCTATTTCAGATTGTTATAAGATTACAGAAGACAAGATGGCGGATTATCAGAATTGGAATCTAACTTCTGATAAAACCGAAGATGAATGCAAACAAATGTGTGAGAACAATACACAATGTATCACATTTCTGTCCAATAGATATTTGATTGAAAATGACATGACATTATATTGTGTTCTGTTCCCAGAACCACATATCTTTACGGCAGTAGATATAAGCTTGGAGGAGTGTAAAAAGAAATGTACGGAGATGAAAGAATGTAAAACGTTGCAGTACATTACAGATAATTGTCAACTGTATGACATTGAATACAGTAAAATACCAGCTGATAAATTGAAACACGAGCCTTTAATGATATTAGCAGAGAGAACTTGCTAGAGGTATAGAAATATTGAGATACGATAGAACCACGAATTTTGTGAAAAAATACAATCCGTAATTCATGTAATTCATCTAAATAAATATGATCATGTTTTTCTGCAAATTTTTTATTGGGCACTAAAATTTAAAATTTATATTTTATAAAGAGGTTTTCTAAAGTTTTTAAATGTATCGATACTATCAGTGTCCCCGATACACATCAAAACTTATAAAACCTCTTTACAATCTCTTTAATACCTTATATACCAAAGTTTACAGCAAGAATACCAAATAGACACAGAAGTGATTTAGAGTTGACACACCCAGTTGCAGGGTGATCAAATGTTCCATTAGGAACAAGGCCCTGACTTGCTAACTACATATTTAGATAAAAATACTCATCAATATAAAAAGTCGTTGTTCTTTGAAAAGATAGCTTGCCAGACAAGGTAACAAGTGAAAAGATAGCTTGCCAGACAAGGTAACAAGCGAAAAGATAGCTTGCCAGACAAGGTAACAAACGAAAAGATAGCTTGTCAGGCAAGGTAACAGGCGAAAAGATAGCTTGCCAGACAAGGTAACAAACGAAAAGATAGCTTGCCAGACAAGGTAACAAGCGAAAAGATATCTTGCAAGGCAAGGTAACAAGTTAAAAGATAGCTTGCCAGGCAAGTTAACAAGCGAAAAGATAGCTTACCAGACAAGGTAACAAGCGAAAAGATAGCTTGCCAGACAAGGTAACAAGTGAAAAGATAGCTTGCCAGGCAAGGTAACAAGTGAAAAGATAGCTTGCCAGGCAAGGTAACAAACGAAAAGAAAGCTTACCAGACAAGGTAACATGTTAAAAGATAGCTTGCCAGGCAAGGTAACAAGCGAAAAGATATCTTGCCAGGCAAGGTAACAAGTTAAAAGATAGCTTGCCAGGCAAGTTAACAAGCGAAAAGATAGCTTACCAGACAAGGTAACAAGCGAAAAGATACCTTGCCAGACAAGGTAACAAGTGAAAAGATAGCTTGCCAGGCAAGGTAACAAGTGAAAAGATAGCTTGCCAGGCAAGGTAACAAACGAAAAGATAGCTTACCAGACAAGGTAACATGTTAAAAGATAGCTTGCCAGGCAAGGTAACATGTTAAAAGATAGCTTGCCAGGCAAGGTAACAAGTTAAAAGATAGCTTGCCAGGCAAGGTAACATGTTAAAAGATAGCTTGCCAGGCAAGGTAACATGTTAAAAGATAGCTTGCCAGGCAAGGTAACATGTTAAAAGATAGCTTGCCAGGCAAGGTAACATGTTAAAAGATAGCTTGCCAGGCAAGGTAACATGTTAAAAGATAGCTTACCAGACAAGGTAACGAGCGAAAAGATAGCTTACCAGACAAGGTAACAAGCGAAAAGATATCTTGCCAGGCAAGGTAACAAGCGAAAAGATAGCTTGCCAGGCAAGGTAACAAGCGAAAAGATAGCTTGCCAGGCAAGGTAACAAGCGAAAAGATAGCTTCCCAGGCAAGGTAACAAGCGAAAAGATATCTTGCCAGGCAAGGTAACAAGCGAAAAGATAGCTTGCCAGACAAGGTAACAAGTGAAAAGATATCTTGCCAGGCAAGGTAACAAGCAAACAGATATCTTGCCAGGCAAGGTAACAAGTGAAAAGATAGCTTGCCAGACAAGGTAACAAGTGAAAAGATAGCTTGCCAGACAAGGTAACAAGCGAAAAGATATCTTGCCAGGCAAGATAACAAGTGAAACGAAAGCTTACCAGACAAGGTAACAAGCGGAAAGATAGCTTGTCAGACAAGGTAACATGTTAAAAGATAGCTTGCCAGGCAATTTAACAAGCGAAAAGATAGCTTACCAGACAAGGTAACAAGCGAAAAGATAGCTTGCCAGACAAGGTAACAAGTTAAAAGATAGCTTGCCAGGCAAGGTAACAAGTGAAACGACCAGGCAAGGTAACAAACGAAAAGATAGCTTGCCAGACAAGGTAACAAGTGAAAAGATAGCTTGCCAGGCAAGGTAACAAGTGAAACGAAAGCTTACCAGACAAGGTAACAAGCGAAAAGATAGCTTACCAGACAAGGTAACAAGCGAAAAGATATCTTGCCAGGCAAGGTAACATGTTAAAAGATAGCTTGCCAGGCAAGGTAACATGTTAAAAGATAGCTTGCCAGGCAAGGTAATAAGCGAAAAGATAGCTTGCCAGACAAGGTAACAAGTGAAAAGATAGCTTGCCAGACAAGGTAACAGGTGAAAAGATAGCTTGCCAGACAAGGTAACAAGTGAAAAGATAGCTTGCCAGGCAAGGTAACAAGTGAAACGAAAGCTTACCAGACAAGGTAACAAGCGGAAAGATATCTTGCCAGGCAAGGTAACATGTTAAAAGATAGCTTGCCAGGCAAGGTAACATGTTAAAAGATAGCTTGCCAGGCAAGATAACATGTTAAAAGATAGCTTGCCAGGCAAGGTAACATGTTAAAAGATAGCTTGTCAGACAAGGTAACATGTTAAAAGATATCTTGCCAGGCAAGGTAATAAGTGAAACGAAAGCTTACCAGACAAGGTAACAAGTGAAAAGATAGCTTGCCAGACAAGGTAACAAGTGAAAAGATAGTTTGCCAGGCAAGGTAACAAGTGAAACGAAAGCTTACCAGACAAGGTAACAAGCGAAAAGATAGCTTGTCAGACAAGGTAACATGTTAAAAGATAGCTTACCAGACAAGGTAACATGTTAAAAGATAGC